GGGAAAAGAGGAGCCCAAGAGTTGGCGGGGGGTGGCGATGACTAGCTGTCTTCCCTCTAGTTTTACACTGCTAAATTAGAGATGGCTAGCGCAGATAGCCCTCGTTTAGCTTTGCGCGAAATTCATAACAAAAAAAAACAAAACAATCCATTCCATGACCATCCCAATCCAAAAGACTCCTTCTTATGATGTTTAAGAATTTGTCATGTAACAAACAAACAATAAAAATAGCAATGGAAGTTGTTTAATTCATTTAATAGTACTTACTAGGTGGTAACATATTTGATGCTATGAGTACTATATGTATAGTATATTACATAAATAAAACCATTCGACCTTATCAAAAGAAGCGATTTTTGTTTAATGTCTAATTTATTTTTGCTGCCCATTTTTTAAAAAGCACAGGTATCCCGATCCAACACATTCCGCCTGACAAAAGATAAGAAAAAGTATTGAATATATACATATATCTAATATATATAAAGGTCAGTTGTCTTTTGATAAGGCTGTATCGCTTAGCAACAAAATTACATATATATATATTAATTTCGAATTTCAAAACGCAAAAAACTATGTTAACTGTATACGTCACATTAGATTTGTGCATTTATGGAATCTTCCACTTACCACTGGGCCACTTAAATAAGAAAACTTCGTGAAGCAGATAAATTTGGTGCGGGCCCTCTCAGAAGTTCAGAGAGGCCGGGCCGCTTTTATCTTTTGAGGCTCCTGGCTATAATAAAAATAAAAAATGTCGACACATGAAAACAAAATAAGACAATCATTAGCCCAAACGAAGAGTGAAACATAATTTGAACATTTTTTATTTAGCATATATATATATATTACCATCATTTAACATTTAATAAATGCTTTTCTAGCCTTTTTCCGTGGATAAAAATAAGTCGTGAAACTTAACAAATGCAAAAAGTACAAGTGTCAAATTTTGACACTTTTGAGCTTGAGGCCCGGCCAAAATGGCCCTCTGCCCCCCCCCCCCCTTAAAGGCTTTAATCTGGTGTACTTTTACAATTTCTGCTGGGACATTATGCGATAAGGTTGAGGTGGTAAGATTACGTTAGCGCAGCTTTAGATTCCTACTGCCTAGGTTTGTTTATCTACCACTGATAACTGGATCTAATATATATAAAAGCTACTTATTAACGTGTGTGTGTGTGTAGCGCTCATACTGGGTTATTTTTAATTTAAGTTGCACCACTCTTACTAATTTTTTGAGGGCGTAATTCACAGTTGGTTTTATTTTCTCAATGTGTCAGGTTTCTTTTATGCTGAAGGGGTAAGTTTGTAAATAATTTGGACAAGGCTATTCTGCAGTATCTTCAGTAGTTCTTCATCTGTTATATATAAACATATCTAATGATTTTAAATACATTAATTGTCCATTGGCGATTAAAATCAGCACTATCATCATAATCATAAAAGCCAAGTGTCGGTCACGCTCGAATTTTCCGAACTTCGTGAGTTACATGAGTCCAATTTTACTCACTACTTCCTCTTCTGATTGCCCGTTCCAATTTTAGTTGAATTCAATCGCTAACATATGCGTAGATAGGTCCTATATAAAAAGACAGAGTTTTTATACCAAAGATTTATTTTATACCAAGGTTTTATTAATATTCTCAATGCAATGTTATATTTTCAAGAGACAGGCAATCGGTTATAGTGTATGAGTAAATCAAATACGTTATACTTGGAAAGATACATTGCAAGATGATACTGAGTTCCGCCAAAACTAACTGAGTCTGTGCTAAGAAATAAATGGACTGAACACAATGTGTAATGCACAATGAAAACACTCTCTATTAATATCACAAACACAAACATGGTTTCAGTATTTCCATTGGACTCTGGATTTGTGAATTGATCAAGGTGGCTTTAATCCCTTAATACTTCTTTTTAAAATAGCCGATTCACTCAAGATAATGTTTTGGACTATTTCACTCAGATCTTGTACCAGACTATTTACACCTCACGTTACTTAGGTGAATCTGTAATGGCAGACTTACCCGGAGCAACTATTCTACACACGTGACTGGTCATTCCTATCAATCTCATTCAAGCATAAGGGAGGCTGTAACCTCGTGATATCACCTGACGTACCATTAGAGGAAACTGTTGACCACCTTCATGTATAAGGTGCAGCTTTACAACTATATCACCCATGGACAGACCAGGTGTTATCTCTAAAGGAATGACAAAGATCAAAGGTAGCTAGAACGAAAACAACGACTTTCTTGACCGCATGTTATGAGAAAACTGTATGGACCTATAATAACCAATAAATTTTGAAAAAATCTACATTAAAATTAGAAGTTGGAAAACGTACGATATACAAAGTAAAAACTAATTTTTATGTTTTGTAAATAACTTTTACTTTATATTTCTTTACTTATAGTTTCAATAACAGTGTTGGTTTAAATGTTTAATGTATACAATATACTTTATTTTGAGGGATATTTAGCATTGTTAGTGTGGATTATGATTTTGATCCCATCTAAAGTAACCGAATCTCGCATGATATTTTTGGAGGGTACCCAACTCACGAAATATTGGATTCTAATCGTTACAAGTTTTTTGGCTTATGGCATAACATTACCCTTGTTAAACTTGTATCTTAAATTATCGATATTAATTCTTATATTGATTTTTTTTAGTTCTGTAGGTAGTTTGCTTTGATCAGAAATAAATGATAATTAATAATAATAATAAAGATATTTATGTAAAATTCTCTCGAGATCTCATACATAATGATAACGTTTCAGTAAGTGTTACGCTCTGTATTCTAACGATAGCACCAATTAGTCATATCGTGAAACCAAATACACGACCCACTAATATTTCTTTGATACTTTGAACACGTAAGAGTTTTCATTCATGGACAACTATTAGTTTTTAACTGTAATATAATAATAATTGATTTATTTGTGGTATAATCTCCTCGAAATTAGCTCATTTAAGACATCTTTCGTAACATTAAACTTGACAACAATTTATTTTAACCAAAGTCTATGTATTGCATGTTGTGCTCATGCCTTAAAGTTCTTTTAAAATGTATAAATTTTTCTGAAACGCCTTTAAAATAATGACCTTTAAAACATTACTGCCAATTACTCAGCTTCGAGGTTTATTTCAAAAAAAAACATTTGAATAATATATATCAAATTTTGTCTTTTTTGTTTTTTGTAATATTGAAGTGAAAAAGTATGCCACAGAATACCCGAGAGCTTGCTTGTCTTATAATAGGCCTTTCTAGATTGACATCATGGCATAACGTGATCTGAAATCTCTTTTTTTTCGTTGCCAACATGTGCTCAGCAGCACCAAACCAGTTGATTTTTTGTTATGTTTGTGTGTCATGTTTACGTGCTGTTAATATATATATTCATATTTCAGTTTTAAACAGTTGATAATTAAAAGTAATATGTGTACCACTGGTGCAACAAAACTCTGGCCCACCTTGCATATTTAATTTTTATTTTGAATATTGAGTGCCATATCATGTGTCATATACGCGATAATATTTTACGTTTAAATAGCTATATTAATGAATACTGTTTCCGTACAATCACGTTTATGGTGATTAAAGACTCAATTTGAATGTGTGTTTGTTTTTTTATAGGTCCTCGAAGCCCATAACTTCCATGCCATTTTAATACAAAATTTATATACAACAGACAATGTGAAAAGATGGAAATAAGACAATATTTTTCTAATATAAGAGATTTTCTGAAGTGATTCCAAACTTAAAGGGAGTATTGGAGACGTCTAATTGTGCATGTTGTGGAATACGAACTTCATCACAATTATTTAAAGCAGGGGTTCACAAAGGCCCCCACAAAACATTTCTTATACCGACTGAGCCCCACCCAACAAATTTATAGATACTTATTACCTAAATAGTATTGTGCATCTTGTGTATTTGCTACAGCTCCTGACACTTTCCTGCGACCCCTCTGGGGGTTTGCAGCCCCGAGTTTGAGAACCCTAATTTAGAGCATCAGATGTGATTTTATAAACTCTAATATATGTATGAAATTAGCAAACTGTAACATTATCTTGTAAATGTACAGCTGTTGGAGAAAAGTAAACTCAGCTGTTAGATCATGGATTTAGGTGAATAGGAAAAAATAATTTAGTGTGAAAAATATTTTAACAGTTAATTTAACAAAATTTCATTTAATAAATTGACAAAATCGGTCCAAGATATATATAAATATATGCTGCAATAAAGGTGATATAATTAAAGCTTACGAATTTAAAGATTCCAATCATTATTTTGAAGATAAAATTTACTTTTTTTTTGTTCCGTCTTTATTTTTACAGATTATCATACCAGAAAATGATTTCGATCAGTTCCGCAATTCTATATACACATCCACTAACTAGTCCTTAATTTACGTATTGAAAAGTATTAGTAGCAATCCGAGTTCTTCGCGAGTTTGCATAAAAACGTCCAAAGTTAGGAATGTGTGAACGATGGTGTAAAATCATGTTGTGGTATCTTGAGGTAAAAGCCATTAATTTAATGTTTCACGTGAAAATTGATTTACATGAACTGTCGTTTCCACTGAATTGTTAGTGAGGAAATTGTTTTTTATTTATTTATGTTCAAAAGTTACTTGTATACATTACTCGAGTGTATTTTGTATGATTATATTATATCAGATGTTTTTAAGATGAGAAAAAAAATCTTGTAACACAAAATTAGGTAAATACGAATTAGTCAAGAAATCACAGTGAAAATATTAAACGATGATGTCAGAATTAATGATGACTCAAAATTAAGACTTTTTGATTTTCTGAATTTACTTCAGCACTAGAAAAGTGGTAAGCCAAGCCTGTTCCGCTATTTGGCCGTTTAAGTCATTATCAATTTTGTGATTTAATGCCCAAATATTTTTGTTTTGTTTCGTTTTCGTGTTTGGTTGCCCCTGGCGGGACGTGAAAAGTTTCATTTCGTCAGTTTTTATTGCTAGCTTTCTGATCTTAGAAGCCTTCCAGTGGCTCAGAGGTAAGGCTGATGGCTTATAACACTAACAGCGGGTTTCAATACCCGTGGTGGGCAGAGCACAGATGGCCCATTGTGTAGCTTTGCGCTTAGCAACAAACAAACAGATCTTGAAACAGCTGGAATAGAAAGTTTTCTAACGTAGTAATATTATCGTAGTTTTAAAAACAATTTTTATGTATGTTTGTTTGTTTGTAACTATGCTCAAAGCTACACAATGGACAATTTGTGCTCTGCCCACTACGGGTATCGAAACCCGGTTTCTAGCATTTTAAGTCCGCAGCCATACTCTGTGCCACTGGGGAGCCAATTTTTATGTAAGAAATAAAAAGCTGGATAATATCTGAATACTATGCTGTCAGTAACTTGCAGAATACGATTTTCCCGATGATCGAAAGGATTGGTTACTGATAAAATGTATGTATGCATGACGTGTGAAATAAAAGCTTGAAATACAACTGTTTATAACACCAGTTACAAGTTTATTGTTTTGACAAAAAGTGAAAATTTGTTTGGAATTATGAACTAAATGTAACCAGTATTAATCAGCTTGTAACAATTTCCATAAATGCTATACTACACAAAAGTTTTTGGTGACACTCAGTTCATCCTTTCCAACATCAGCTTGTTTTAAAGAAGTGTTTTTAGTTGAATATATTTTATTGTATTAACGAAGCTCAAATGCACAGTTGTTTCGATTTTGATTCAATAAATTGAACACAGAGGGAAAAGTTTCACAGGCTATGAAATGTTCAAGTAAATAATGTAAGAAGTAAAACATTTGCATGTCATGAAATTTTTCAAATGTAAGATCTATTTGATAAAGTAATAAAATAAATATCTGAATAAATAAAACGTCGCTGCTTATTCGTTGTTTTCTTGGCTGAATTTATTGTTTTGACACAAAAGTGCAGTTACCTAAACACGCGTACACAAACAAAATTCAGACATATTTATGATATCAGCAAACTGGCGTATTTCTCTGTAATAATAACATTTCATTATTTCGCTGTTTACAACGTTTTAAAATGATGAAATATAAATACCTTAAAAAGTTCAAAATCTTGAATAAAATAGTTTATATGATAAGATGCAGTAAGAAAGAAAATATTTAATTTGAAAAATGTGCGGTTTCAACTTAATAACAGCATGTTTATTATTATAATTAAGATTCCTTATTTGTTTGCTAAAATGTTTAAACGAATTTAGAAAAATGAATTGTACTTGTTTGTCTTTTCATACCGGTGATAATCGGGTTATTGGTACTTATAGCATCTATTCAAGTTAGAAATTTAAAAAAAAAAACCACAAAGAATTTCCTAATCAAGATTTTATGTTTCTAGAAACGATCGCATGGTTTTACATGCGAACAACCCAAAAAAAAAAAAAAAAAAGAAGAATAGCACAGTTTTAAAAATATAGACACAAAGAAGAAGAATAGCACAGTTATAAATATGTAGACCCAAAGAAGAATAGCACAGTTACAAATATGTAGACCCAAAGAAGAATAGCACAGTTATAAATATGTAGACCCAAAGAAGAAGAATGGTAATGTTTTATGTACATAGACCCAAAGAAGAAGAATGACACAGTTATAAATATGGTGATCCAAAGAAGAATAGCACAGTTATAAATATGTAGACCCAAAGAAGAAGAATGACACAGTTATAAATATGGTGATCCAAAGAAGAATAGCACAGTTATAAATATGGAGACTCAAAGAAGAATCGGCACAGTTATAAATATGGAGACCCAAAGAAGAATCGGCACAGTTATAAATATGTAGACCC